GGTTCCACTTTTATTGGGTGTTGCAGATGTCAATGGGTGGTAGTATTCAGTTAAAAAGCGAGCAGGCCGTTAACTACCGCCTGCTCGCTTGACAACTTTTCACATAAAAATAAGACATAATCGACGCATAACACAGCCAAGAGTGTTCGAGATTTCCCCTGAAGGCGTACCATTAAGGATTTTATTATTTTTACTCTTTACGCCTTTTGCCTCTTCCAAATCGAGGCGCCACCCTTATGCTGTCGACGTTCCCAGAACAAGAACAAAGCGATTCGCTTCGTCATTTATCATCCGTATAGCTAAGGAATGGAAAAACCTGCCGGCGTCCCTTTCCGTCCGATTACCAATCTTCAAGGCAAGAGTGAATAGGTTTTTACTGAGCTAGCGCGCTTACCATCAAAGGCTGCATCGCCACTTACCGTCAGGTGGGATGGCAGTAAGTGCTGGCCAGTTTTGAATTAAAAAAAAATACATAAATCTACGCTTACATGCACATGAGTTGTTATGAGTACTAAACACAGGTCTAAGCCCTCTAAGTCGAGTTGACGGTGATTCTCTGATTTCCGGTGCCTTGTTGATTTATCGCATGCACAGCGATGAGGACACCCGCATATTTTAGAAATAATAATAACAAAGAGTATTTCGAAGATATGCGTTCTGCCAGCCGGCAGAGGCCGCATGGTGTCCAATACCTCTTGCACAGAAGAAACCTATATTAGGCTGTGAGTTTAAACCTATCTTTATAAAATGGAATAAATGTAAACTGGAATTAAATTGGACTGATTGGAATTAAATCCTAGCAGTTTTTTTTTTTAATATAGCCCGTCAAACAACATGTATATATTTACGAAGGGCAATACTTATTCGAGAATAATGAGTGAGCAAAGAATTTGAACAACTCCTAGTATAATTGCATCGGAGAGACTCCGAGCAATTACAATGGTTGTTTAGACGGACAAGAGAAAAACGATGACTCCGTGGCGCAATTGCCAAGGTATCGGCTTCGGCGTCGGGGGTCGTCGGTTCGATTTCCACACGGGACAACTATTTGTGCGACCCACAGATAGTTGTTTCGCATCTGGGTGTTTCTCCTCGGGCAATTTATGTTTGCAGAAACATCCTTACAACACAGGATAATGTTATCCTAAAGCGAGGTCAATGTTTTTTTTTAAAACTATAACTATAAACTAAACTTAGAAAAATAATGATGACTGTGACGCAGTTGTCAAGGTATTGGCTTCGGCGCCGTGAGTTATGGGTCCGAATCCCACACGGGATATCTATTTGTGTGACACACAGATAATTGTTTCATTTCTGGGCGTTTGTCCACGGTAAATATTTAATTAGACAATTTAATTGGGTCGTGTAATAGATACCTATCGTGTCCAAGAAAGTTGAACCACTATTAGTATTGGCTCGGCTTTAAAGGTAGACTACATATTTGGACGGCCATATTTGTTAAGCAAAAAAGCTCCATAAATAAATAATAAGAACGGATAGGGTTATAACTATAGGAACGTACCACGCCCCCAGAACACCGGTGTAGACTAGAAGTATTTTATACTCTTGTCTTTCGTCTGTATCTTGTAAGCCCGTGACTAAAGGCCCATTTACACGATGCCATTTTCTTGTACATACAAGAGCAATAATTGAATGCAATAAATTGCGCGCAATCATTGTTTAGACCATGCAACTCATTTATTGCTTCAATTTAATTGTATACAACAGGCAAGAAACTGGCACCATGTAAATGGGCCTTAATAAAACTACGCAAGTATTACTTGAAGACACAAAAAAAAACTCAAATTGTAGCTAAGAACAATCGCGATCACGTCAGCTTTAAAAATACATATTTCTTCCATTCGTTTACGTGCCACAATGCCACAGACAGACAGACATACAGACAAACTTAAAACTCTCCTTTTCTCTACTCCGGAGGTTTGAAAAGGCGATACGCCATTGAATGCTGTACTTCATGCAACAATCAGGAACTCGCACTGTAAAGAATAACAGTCTCATTTGTTGCGCAAGCAGTGAAAACTAACGGTTTCACAACAAAACGGAGGATAGGTCAGTGAATGTTATCACCGGTCGTACAATACTCTGGAGATGTGCCAAATATGTCCACGGGCTAGGGGGGCCAGGCGAAGCCAACTATATGGACTTTCCTAATATCTAAAGCCGCTTAACAATGTATCTATTAAGTAAACCGCTAATAATGTGCACTATAACTAAATGAAACTATGTTTACCGATATATAATTATAATCGCGTAATTACAAAGAAATTATTAAATATTCGCTATTAATTGCCAAATAAGTTGACAATGATCTAGAATGAATAAAGAAACAAAAAGAACAAAAATAGTAACTTTACTATACACGTAATCATGATTTAATACACGATAGCAAATTTCTCCTATACGCGGTGGATAATTATGTCCATATATCGTACCCCCCATGCAGAATTTTGTCCATCCTGGTAACTCAGTTTACTATATCTATTCTAGTTTCTTAAGAGTCACGAGAATGAATAGTAGTTAAGCAAGAATAATATTCCTAATTCAAATGTATAAGGAAAGCATCTTTGCCACGTAAACGAAAGCAGAAATCATCTATATCAGAAACTATATAAAAAATAAGCACGAAATAATAAAATATTACTAAATAAAAAGTATAAACATTTCACATGTCTACCCTTTGATCTGTCCCGGATTTTGAGCATGAATCTCTGTCACCCTAGTGGGACAGAAGGGCCGTGACCCGAGGACAACGATGCAACCCCGTCGTAAAAATAACCATTTCGCGCGACATTTTATCTATTTAGGGGAAATGCGTTGATTGCTGCTGGACTAATTGTGTTAGAATGCGCATAAATAATAACAAATTCTACTACAAATTCTAATATATGGGCATTTAACGTTTTATTTTTTTATTTAGGCCCATGCAAAAACTTCGTCTGTACGAATGGGTAAGTACCACGACCGACCTCACAGAAGACTAGCGTTAAGAGCAAGCTATACTTTTGCGTTTCGTCTGGCTATAAAGTGGGCCCTGGCTACCTCACACAGGTAGCCAGGGCCCACTTTATAAAAAGTCAAGCAAAAAAAGGCAGCCTCATTTTTTTTATGTGAAAAGTTGCCAACCGAGCAGGCGGTTCTCCTTATGTTAAGTGAATACCGCAGCCCATGGACATCTGCTACACCCTGGTTGCAGATGCGTTGACCTTATGAAAATGGGGTCTGGCTACCTCACTCACCAGACTAAACCCGAAAGTATTATACTTCCATTTCACGCCGGTCTTCTGTGAGGTCGTGGTACTTACCCAGATGAGCCTGCACATTCGTGCAACAGCCGAGGCTGCTGAGTGGCCCTATCACAGAATACTCTCTCCATTCGTGCAACAGCCGAGGCTGCTGATGTGTCCAGAGAGGTACAAAGACTGGCGTGAAGTGGATGTATTTCATTTCTGCATTCCATCTAGTGAGTGAAGTAACAAAAGGGCAGACTTTTAAATTGGTTGGCAACACACCTGAAGAGTGTCGTAAATTTCCATGGGTGGCGGTTAGTCACTTAACATCAGGCAAACTGTCTGCTTGCATGCAAACTTTATGATATCATATATATGGGTTTATATTGACACGAAAAAAATAATTGCAGTCAATAAAAAGTAATCAAAATAAGTATAGCTCAATCACAGTAATTCACCATTTTCGCTGATGTACATTATTTATAACTGTGAAAGGAGTGATACAAAGAGAATATATTCTAGGATTGACCATCAAATGAGTATGAAAGAAATCTTGTAAGAAAAATTCAAAGTTCATGTTCATTTGTTATTTTAAAAATATATGTCATGTGGTTCAAGATCAACCAAAGCAGCTTGGTTGGTCTTTTTTTTTTCAAAACTGGCAGTAGAAACCTATTGAAAAAAAACCTAAAACCTGGTCTACCTTGATAGAAATGATTTTTTATTAGGTACCTAACACAATAGCAGAATTCTATACTAATATTATTTCAAAACATATAAAATGTTCAATGAAAATAAAAAATAAATATTATTTTTATTTTATTGAAATATATAAACTGCTAATTTTGCATTGACAATACAGTATAACAACGCCAACACCATAGTTGTATCAATTACCTAGCCATTTTATCTTTATCTAGCTGAACCTGGGCACACTTTGCTGTGGCTTTTTTTTTTTTTTTGTTTCTATTGGAATCTCAAAAACTTGTTTTAAAAGTATATAAAACACAATAGGATATGTTGCTGTGAAAAAATATCAAGTCAATTGATCGGCTAGTTTTTGAGTTTTGTGAACACAAACTTACATTTGATTAATTTTTAAATATAAAAATTTTGATTTTGTCTTGTTATTTTTACTTTTAGTTTATCATTTGATTCTGATATTTAAATAAAGATTTCTATAAGAAAAAAATTTTTGGTAGAAATTGGCCTAAAGATGCATACATAGCTCTAATTCAAAAACAAAGAAGATATGACTCAACATTTTGCATGTTTTCATCTGTGTTTTGTACAAGAATAATATAAAATACCCTACAGTATGTATGGTTAATGGGAGCATAATGGGCCTTACAATATATTTTGAGTGCTCATTTGTTATTTCCAATGAACCTTGTTAGTTCATTTATGTTAAACTATGAAGAATTAGAAGGGATACAAGTGGTGAATATATAACACAATAAAAAAAAATAAGAAAAGATGTTCATACAGCTATTAAATATTAGAAAGTTTATTTAATAAAACATTTTAAATCAATTACTGGATATAAGTATCTTGTTGTTTGTGCATAATTAATATTTTAACTTCAAAATACAAACAACAAAATTAATTTTTATTTGTTTGTAGCTAAAACAAAGCATAGAGCAATACATAAAGTGAAGACCCATAAAAACGTTTCACGAAAACAACAAAGAAAGTGAAGAGTATTGCTAGATGGGCACACAACTAATTTCACAGAAATGAAATAATATTTACCTCTATACTTCGTGTCGCAAATTCCACTCCTATTGTGGATTTCGACTCCAAATTGAACTCATTTCTAGTGAAACGCGAGAGAAGACTGCTTTTACCCACCCCAGAATCCCCTATGAGAACCACTGTAACAAGACAAAGTATTCATAGTCAGGAAACCATAGAATAGTTGCATAAAAAAATCATTAGCAAATTATGTATCGTGAAAGTTTCGGCCCTATTGTACATTATGATTAGATCATACGAATAAGTGAGATGAGTCACTAATAAAAAGCGACGAAAAATCAATCAATCCGAGTTATCAGCTGATTCGTTAAAAAACTTTTCTGTAGTTTGTGTATGATATAAATTCAGAAGTATACTTAAAATATAACAATAAGTTTAAAAAAGCAAATGTTTTCATACAAATTCGTAGTATTACAGTAATTCTTTCTACGTCATTCAAGGAAACAAAAGATTCGTATATTCATAATATGCATATTAGTTTACTATGTGAATATCTATCGTTCTGAGTAAAAAGTGAATAATATAGCACAGCCGTAAACTTACCTTTAAACAAATAATCATATTCGTCCTCTCTTGTGCCCATTTTGATTATCTACTACTTCGTTCGACGTCAAAATCGGTCAACTAATAACGATGAGATATTTATACAAACAAAAAATAATTGGACACTAATATATCACAGGCTCATGAAACACTACACAGCTTCTTTAATATCACTTTTATTAACGGATTTATTAAATATATACGGGTTAAATTAAATAAAATCTAAATTGTCACTGGGACAAAATGGCGGATTGTTTTACGCCCCTATTGGTGCGTTCAGAAACTTTACTAGCCTACTCACTCTGACATACAGATGATGTAAGTAAAAGACAAAAAGCGAGTCTGTTTAAACGTAATAACTTTTTTCCAACGAAAATAGATATGGAAAGTTGTATACAATTGAGTCAATTCTATTAACAAAATTATTTGTGTAGGCATAAAGTTCTATTGTCACACAAGTTCAATATTTAAATTCTGATTAAATACATGAAAATGAAGCGGTAACATGGCATGGACAGAAATTTTTGAATAATCCAAGATGACGTTATTAATTTGCAGTCACCCACATAATCGATGCGTTCTGAAATAACGTTTTCGGAAAACAGTGATAGTCTCAAATGGGTTAACTATATAATTTATTCAGTTTTAAACACAGCACTACAACATATATATTAAAATTATAATAACGCAATTAAGCAGTCGCAGCCACAACTTCTTCATCATCGCTATCATCTTGAACTTCTTTAGATAATGTACGTTCAACGTGCACGAACGGATCGATTTTCAATCTTTCCGTCGATGGTGGACTGACAATCAGGCACCTATAAAGAAAACCTATCATTAAGAATTACTCTAATTTACAAAACTTGATTAGATAAAAAATAGTCAATTTTTGGAATTAACTTCTTTTGGCGTGTTTGAAAAAAAATATAGGATTAAACGAAACTTTACTCTCACTCTCTTAAAACTTAATTTTAAGAGTTTTACGATGTGCGCGCACACCAACCACCAAATTGCGACATGATGAAGTAGGTTGCAATGCAACCAAGTTCACAGCATTAACATGGCGAACTTTCTGACATAACTACATAGTATAAAACAAAGTCGTCCCGCTGTGTGTCCGTCTGTTCCTATTTAGCTGTTCCAGCTTAGATCTTTAAAACTACGCAACGGATCTTGCTGCGGTTTTTTACTAGATAGAATGATTCAAGAGGGAGGTTTATATATTAATACATTGCACCTGTGCAAAGCCGGGGCGGGTCGCTAGTTTGCCTATAATTCCATGTTAAAAGCGTTATCAATTATATTTAATATCTTTTTCGAAAAGAGTATTGTTTGACACGCATTTTAATGTCGAAAACTAAAAATGAAATTGATAGCCTTTAGTTTTATTTGTTAAAATGCTGGTCTCATGATGTTTTATATTTAAAATTCCAGACATTAAATCACAAAAAAACTAAGGTACATTTCATCCAGAGTAATAATTGGAATAATTCAATACCTTGTAATGAAGAGTCCATCCCTCTTTGGTCTTGCTGACTGGATATCTTTAAGAAGGGCGTCAACATTCTCAGAAACTTGCTTTGCATCCATATTTAACTGTTAAAAATACTTCATTACAAATATGAAAGTATTATAAAGAAAAAACTTCATGAAGTGATAAAATAAAGATCAATTATTATAAAATAAGAAAGAGTATCTATACTATGGCACTAAGTACTAAACTGTTTACTTACAATTTTGAACAATAATTATTATAACAGTTTTGAAATAAACTAAATAGTCATAACATTTACTCTATTATATAGTTTTCCTTACCCTGCCTACAGGTACCTCAGTAGAGCCAAAGTTCTCCTGCTGTTCGTCTTTCACTACCCTGTATTGTATACCAGCAGCGAACTTTTTAATCAGTCCGCAAATATCTGGGTCCAACGTGCCACTGCGTACGTTTGGAAACCTACGCTTCATGAGGCCACGAATGGGTACTAAATCTGTTACCATGTTAGGATGAGCTATGACAAAGTCGTAGTCTGCCAGTTTTATCTCACCATCCTGGAATGAGAATTCCTTTATTTCAGTTACAGCCAGGAGATGATTTAAGATACACATGAAATGATAAAAAGGTTGCAAAAGTGGTTAAGGTTTAAGAATTGGTTAAGTTAGAGCTTGTGGTAGCTGTGATGTCCAATTCTCCAGGGAGCATATTCAAATCCCATTGGAGTGTAGCAACAAATTTTCCATTTCATGAATTTTTCTCCCACAGCAACAGTCTCACTGCCAATCATGTTTGAAGCTTATATTAAAAGCTTGAAATCTTTGATAGCGTAAGCAGTATTGGCCCATTGGAGGTAAAGAGAGTTGTAATGTGATGTATTTCAAATGGAGAAACTAAGTTAGCTTTTACAGAGTTCTTGACACATGGTTTATTCAATATGGTATGATTATAATGTTCAATATCATATGCCATAACCTATAATTTAAATGTGGATGAATGAGGAGGATATCAGAATGAAATTGCGACTAACCTGAATTTTCTTGACAATCTCTGTTGCTCCCACTGTTGTAGCTCCAGACTCTAAAGCTTGCTTAATGAGCTCTGGACCTTTGCAGAATGCAAGAATGGTTCTTTCCTCATCTCGCGGAAAGATGTTTGGTAGCAGTGTAAGTCGCATAAAATTGTCCAGAAAACGGTTCTATAAATTACAAAAAGAAGTTTTATTGAAATTATGTTGCTGTGTTTTTTATTATTTTTCAGAAGTGGTTTTATTATTTATAAGAAGTGGTTAAGTATAATTTTATTTAATAGAATGGTATCTGCATCAAGGGACAGTCTTAAGGAAGTCTTAGGCAAATAAATGCAATACCCAATACAAATAAGTTAGTTTAGTGAAAAACAACAATCAAATACTCTTCAATGATAAGATATATTATAATAATTATCATTTCAGCCTGTGTGAGTCCTCTGCTGAACATAGGCCGCAGACATAAGAGGTATGTACCCATTATTGTTCTACCCATTATTGTTTTCATTCTAAGGTATACTTACAGATATAGATGCATAAATTACACATATACAAAAGTAATAATAATATGTACACTTTTTCAGTATAAAAAATTAATACCAATACGGCCATCACACAATGATTTGCAGCTAGGAGAATGAGACAAGAAACAAACCTTTTTAACAGCTTGCATGTTCATTTCCACCCTGGCATAGACCAGGGCATCAGGCATATTGTACATGGTTGGATGGTGTGTCTCTTGGTGTGCTTTAACTGCATCTTCCGCAGTATAAACAACCCAACGATAGTAACGCATTGGGAAAACATTGTCCTTAGACACCTGCTTGAAGGAGTCATCAATATGCTTGTCAACAACTTTGGTAACTCTAGAATATGAAATAGAGAAATATTAATTTCATTTGCCAAAATGGCATCTTACTCATATTCATAGAAATATTCAATATTATATATTTAACTAGCGGACCAGACAGATATTGTCTTGTACATACACAACTTAAATTCATCAACTTAGAAAAAAAAATTGTAGTGGTCGGTCCAATTTCATTAAAATCGGTTCAGCTGTTTAGGAGGGGTATTACTAGCTGCTACCTGCGAAGAATAGGCTGAAGGCATAACATTCAAACAGAAAGACAGATATACATAACATATGTATGTAAACTATAGCCTATGTCTTATTCTGATGTATAAGCTATATTATTGTAAGGTTTTATTAAAATCCATTCGGTAGTATTTGTTTGAAAGAGTAACAATAAACCATCCATACATACAAACTTTCGCCTTTATAATATTAGTAAGGATAAACACGAAATGAATAGCCAAACCATTATTTTCATATTGGATTATTGCTTGGAGTCAGGTTATTGTGCTTGGTTGTTTGCTATTAATGTTCAATTCAACCAGTTGTGTACATTTGATTTACTTGAACACTAATAGCAAAATACTAATCATCATTGTCATTGTTGCCCCAAGAAGACCACTGTTGAGCTTCATATGAATGAAGGGGGAGGCCCTTAGACGCCACACCAAACGGCACTTTGCCATTTGAATCCACCCTTCCACCTAATGGGAGGCCTTCCAAAGTTACGTCTTCAGGTTTGTGAACTTTTACTCGCCATCGGTTATCAGTTCTTCAAGCGATGTGGCCTGCCCATTGTAATGAAATACTAATGATTCTGATATAAACATACTTGTCCTTTTTTCTTTGATTGTGTGGAATGAATCCAATTTTGGTGACTTCAACTTTTACTTTTTTAGCACGAGCTTTGGCTCTGGTGCCTTTCCGCGCCGCGTAATACACGGTAGAGGTATGAATCGATCTCTGAAAAATTGATAAAATGTTGAATATATTTATTAATTTACTTTGACATAAGCATTTAATGATATAGACATGTTCTATGTACCAAGATACTTGTGTTATTATAACTATTTTATTAAAAAAAAAAAATCAAATCTGGAAGCTGTAGCCGTTTAAATATACTCATACTAACCAAGTTTGCACTATTAGTCCCGTAAAGGGATAAATTGGTAAATAGGGAACCTGCAAATAATAAAAACATATTAAATTTATATTTTGTAATTAAGTGCTCATAGTAAGTGCCCATAAGTGAAATAATGAAACCAACGAATTAAAGTTCCAGCCATTGTTATTAAAATTAATGTTTATGTTATGATAAGAAATTAATTTTTGTATTCAAAAGAAAACAACTTAAGAGGTTAACCATAAACTAAGCCCTTTTTGATTTTTTTTATTCAATTTAGTTCATGGTATTGCTACGGTATGAAATGGAAATCAACATCAAGGTTGCAATGGCAATTTTTATAGTACCTGATTAAGGTTTGCAATTAAGATATGATTTTACGTTCGTCAACGAAGTTCTAGAAAAGTTTTTCCTAATCCTTGCAGTGTCTAAAAATTGGCCTAAAGGATTTCACTTTTTTATCTGTTTCCTTATTACACCCTTGTTTATTGTGTAATCTAATGTCTTGTCTTTGACAGTAAGTTAAAAAACTCGAAAACAAACGTTTAACCGTGAAGATTTGGTTCGCAACCAAAAATATTTTAATCAAAACAAATGTATCGCTCAGATAAATGTATTTCATAGTTTAAGTGTAGTAGCGCGTAAGTAATAATGGAGAAAATCAATAGTCTTCTCTTATTTATATCCCTCTGCGTATTATTATGGGGTGTGGCCGGTCAGTATGAATGGCAGCTAAGAGATGCTTTCGATGAAATACGTGAAAAGATTGACAAAGTAACGGCTGATAACTGTTACATTACCCATTTGGATGACCTCTTTCTACCAGAGAACTCGGTGTCACACCATCCCGATGTTAAAGAAATAAATATAAATCCTGTGTTCCCTAACCGAACGGCTATGTTGCATTTACACAACATGGCTATGAACAGAGCGTTCTTCTGGAGTTACATTCTGCAGTCACGGTTTATAAGACCAGCCATAAACGATACTTACGATCCCGGCATGATGTACTACTTTCTCTCTTCGGTGGCAGATGTTGCAGCTAATCCGTATATAAATGCTAGCTCTATTTACTTCTCCCCAAACACATCATACACTTCTTCGTATCGAGGATTTTTCAACAAAACTCTGCCGAGATTCGCGCCCAGAGCCTTCAGGGCTGATGACTTTAACGATCCTGTGCATCTCCAAAAGATATCTACTTTGAACACATTCCATGTCTTAGATTTAGGGGCTTTCGACTCTGAAAGCCTGTCAAAGGATTATACCTCTGATTTTTATCGAACAAATGAATGGTACTTTAAATGGTTGCCGGACAAGGTGGACAAACGTCATGACACCAAAACTACATATCAAGTAGAAATCAGATATGCCAATAACACAAATGAGACATTCACATTCCATGGACCACCTGGAAATGATGAGGTTAGTCAATATTATGCTTTCCCATTTTGAAAGTTTGGACATTCTGTAGTCTTTGAAGTTCTAAATTCTATATATTTTTGAATAAACTTCATGGTATATGCTTTTCTGATTAGATTCAGGGACCAGTGAATTGGACCCGTCCTTACTTTGATTGTGGACGGTTGAACAAATGGCTTGTAGGAGCAGTATCACCCGTAGCAGACATTTATCCACGTCACACTCAGTTCAGACATATAGAATTTCCAACGTAAGTAAATTGTATGTAATTAAACAGATATATGAATGTTCTCTAACAAATTTTCCATTTATGAAATGAAGGGTTAAGTGGAAGATTTTCAATATACAACCTAGAGCTGTCAGTCCTACTAATCAAATACATCTTACATTAAATGTTGAATCAATAAGTTTATTAGTTTATGAACCAATAATATTTCTAAAATATTTATTGAAATATAATTGTAACTTATGATAAAGAAATTCAACAGGTATACCGCAGCAGTAGTCATGGAAATGGACTTTGATCGAATAGATATAAATCAGTGCAATGTGAGTCTAGGCAACGATCGACCAAACCGGTTTGCAGGCACCGCACGATGTAAACTGGAGACGACAGAGGTGATTGTTCTTTGTATGTGTAGTAGACGGTTGAAAAGTAAGCAGAAAACCTGGTGTTACAGGGTATAACTCAATTTTTTTAATGGTCAAGTATGGTCATCTATACTTACCACAGTTTAACTATAAGGAGTCATCAAAGTCATCAAATATAATAGTATGGAAGGCGGCATGGATTTTTGCGTTATTTTAATTTTAATGTTGGAAGATTTGGTTTATTGGAATGCAAAAATTTTCGTAATAACATAGTTAGCCAAATTTATCCACTTCTTTAGTTTTAATTTCTAATATGTCGATTTTTCATATAAAAGTTTTGCCATTTAAATTCTGCTAGTTGTTATGGGAGAACCACAAAAATTTAAACGACCCATATGAAACTTTTTGATTGATTGTTCAGTGCGAGCCTCTACACGGCTGGGGTTTCCGTCGCGGTGGCTACCAATGTCGTTGCCGTCCAGGCTACAGACTGCCCAGCATAGTCCGTAGACCATATCTCGGTGAGATCATAGAAAGAGCCACCTCGGACCAGTATTACAACAACTTTGACTGCAAGGAGATTGGCTGTGAGTAATACATAGTTTTTTCTATTATCCCATATGCATCATAAATTCACTTTACCTGTTTTAATGGAATTATATATTGGTAGTTTATTTTGAATGCAACTATATGTTTCACTTTTCGAATTACGCGTCCTGACGCTGTAGCCAATGACTGCTTAGCTTAGTGGCTCATAGGCACAAAGCCAAGCAGTCGACATGTTCACTGCGTGAAACGAAGCACCTTATACAACACCAAGTATTGATATGAATGCATTAAAAAAACGAACAGACATGATTTTTTTGCCGTTTTTATATGTAATGGCATGGGGGCCCCAGTTGAGCATTTTAGTATTTGTTTTTATAGCGGCAACAAAAATATATCATGCTTGAAATTTTTTTCTGTCTAACTATCACGGTTCATCCTACCTAGGAAGTTAAAATTTATACCACATACTGAGTTCTATAGCCCCTATTAGCTGTATAAAAATTAAGGTCCTGAGTTCTTGAGAAAATCGATGGTTACACACCGACAGACAGACGGAGTGATCTTATAGGTGTTCTCTTTTTACTTTTTAAGTTACCATAATAATGTACGAAAAGTTTCGTCCGATACTAGACCCGTATGGAATGGCTGTTCCCAGGGGTGCAGAAGCTGCCCGTCCGCTGGGAGAAGGCGCACCCGTTCATCCGCGCGCTGTACGCGGACCGCTACTACGAGTACGTGAACGCGAGCGGCGGGCCGGCCGCCCTGCACACCGAGCGCGTCAACGTCTTCGAGGTGCTCAACTTCATACGCGGCGTGCAGCCGCACAACTGCTCCCTGTGAGTGTGAGCGGCGGCCGACTCCGTTCGCCTCTACAACAGTGCTTGATAGAGTTACGAGTTTTAAGCGAAACTGACACAAAAATCTCAAATCATAGCCAATAACCATCGAGATCACGTCAGCTTTTAAACAACGCAACATAATCGTTTGGAAGCTACAATGCCAAAGATGGACACATAGATACAAAACACTGACACAAAAATCTCAAATTATAGCTAAGAACCATCTTGATCATGTCGGCTTTCAAACAAAAAACGCATGATGTACACACAGACACACGTCACACTTAAAGGGACCCTCTTTTTACGTCGGTGGTTAAAAATATTGACATTCGCTGGAGCAAAAATGTTTGATTACTAAGAAAAATTCAACTTCGTAACTATAAATTGTGGGAACATGAACTTAAGGCCATTTGTCATGTAAACAAAAGAAATTATTTCACACTTATTTTGCTGACAGCCTCTATTTGTGATAAGTTCAAGTCTATACAGACAGATTAATATTTTTTAGATGATTCGTGATGACACTTTTATGTTAATCAAACTAATTTATTTGCTTTATTTTTATATATTATGTGAACCCGACTCCTACAAACTAATATTTATTAAGTAAGATTGGTTACTAGGAATTTTTGTATTATTATATGATGTAGTGTTTACATTATATGTGCTGGACATGTGTGCATATCTCATGACCATCATAAAATGAAAAATCTAAATTTAATTCTGGCATAAGAACAGGGGAATCATTATCGCTTGTGTCCTGATTGCATCGATTTTTCAGGTACAAGCCGACAGATCTGTTCCTGAACGGTGACATTGCGTTCGGCGCGGAGGAGCAATTCGAGAATCAGGCCAAGATGGCCGTTCGTCTCGCGAACTTCATCAGCGCTTTCCTCCAGGTACCGTGTTTAACTTTAAACGGTTCGAGGTAACCAGGCGAGCAGCTCACATGGCTCAATAGGTAATGTTCACCGCCTGTACTGTACGAATCAAAAATTAATATCATAACAAAAAACAAAGCCGAATTAAAATTGGTGACTCCGTGGCGCAGTTGCCAAGGTATTGGCGTCTGGGGTCGTGGGTTCGATTTACATATAGGACGACTATTTGTGTGGCGCACCGATAGTTGTTTCGGGTGGTTGTACTCATGCAATTTATGTTTGTAAAATGTCCTTACAACACAGCATAATGTTATCCTAAAGTGAGGGCAATAAAAAAAAAGATCTCACTCAATATACATTACTCATTTGATTTTGTGGAGTACCTTGATTTCCCGAGTCAATAGACCGCAGTTCCTTGATTTAGTCCATAGTCCAATACCCTAAAGTTTATGTGGGACCACATGGGAGCTAAACTGAACCCACTGCAAAAGGAATTTTTAATATCTACTCATAAGGTCGCGTTCTGAGAGATTCTCAATTCTGTTGTATGTTTTCTTTATGTTTGTTGCCAAAAATAAATCTGTTTTCAGCGCCACTCCATAGTAGAGCAACTCCAGGAAATTAAATATAAGAAGAACTAAGAGACACATCATCGACAAACTATTTCGCATGGTTCACCTAAAACAGTGATCTCCCCCTACAACCTAGGTCGTTCACGAAATATGTTACTTTTTTTTTTAAACATTGCCCTTACTTTAGGATATCATTATCCTGTGTTGTAAGGATGTTTTACAAACATAAATTTCACGTGGACAAATACTAACGAAACAACTATCTGTGGGTCACACAAATAGTTGTACCGTGTTGGAATCGAACCCACGACCCCCGACGCCGAAGCCAATACCTTGACATTCAGCATAAAAAATATTATACTACGTAGATTTCTTCAATTCTTCGTTACCACGTAAAAGTTTTAATGCACTGTCTCGTCACCGTATTAAAGTTATTTGTGTAACCCGCAAATTGTCGATTTTTTATCCGGGACCAAAAATGTATAAAATACTATATAAAAGAATATATAATTTCCAATGTCAGAACTGTCAGAAAATGGATTTTAAAATATTTGTTGCATTTTCCTTTTTTTTACACGTCGTTTGTGACACATTACGGCATTTCTCATTTATGATTATCCTTTGCGTTTGTAAAACTTTTTTGCTTTCCATTATGCTATTATTTATTGTACATGTTATTTTGTTTTGTTTTTAATTCTTATATTTTATTTAACATTAATTGACCAATTTATTTAATAACTATTAAAAACTGTTTTTTCACGTGCAGGTATCGGATCCTTACGAAATCTTCAGTGGCACGCGCGTGGCAGACAAACCGCTCACTGAGGACCAGATGATTGGGGAAACACTTGCCATCGTCCTTGGTGACTCCAAGATTTGGTCTGCAGGTGCGTTATTTCGTTATGTGATATAACTTGCTGGCTATGGAGAAATGGTTCACCCTTTAATTTAGTGAGACGCTGTAGGACACAGCAAATAGCTTAGATGTGAAACATTTTACCTGTAATAAGTATATTAACTGGATTGTTTTACCCATGGACCTATACAACACAACACTTGTGGGATTGCAGATGCTCTGCCAAAATTTAAAAAAAAAAAAACCGTGTCTTACAGTAGTCGCATAATATGTGTAACTACTGACACTCATGTCACATTGGTAACGTACTACCTTAAGACTTTAAAAAAAAAATATTATCAAAGTATTATTTGAAATGAATTTGCGTAAAGTAGAAAAGAAAGACTGAAATTTCTGACTGAACTGTCTGGTGTTTTTAAATGAAAATACAACATGTATTAAATGTTTGTATGTTAAAATAAAATCCGTAAATGAGTTTTATTAAAAAGTATAATAATCGCGTAAATAAAAGAAGTTGTGAGAGAAAAGACATTACACATTTAAGTGGTGTGATTGATAAACTAACAAAACTTGAAATTATTGTAGTTCCACTTCATATTATGGTAATTCCCCTAATATAGTAAAATAAAATCGCCCAGAGCATCTTGGTCCGCCAAACGCTTTAAAGCCCTCATTAGAGAGGATTTGTTACTATAAAAGTGGAACATAAACAGGCTAAACAGCGTATATACTCAATAAACCCTACTATCACTTACCTTGTATTCACTACAGTGTTAACATTGCAGGAACTTACTGGGACAGGAACAAATTCACGAATCGAACTTACTTCGCGCCGTTCGCGTATAAAACCGAACTGAACACGAGGAAATACAAATTAGAGGATATGGCAAGACTAAATAAGACCGGTGAGTTGACTGAGTTGATACTTAAAAACGTGTTGTTCAAACTATACATATTTAGGTGGTATACGCCATTCACCATGACGTGCCGTGATGTTGGCTCCATCATCACATTGGCAAACATTGTTCAAATGTTTGATGATTTCACATTTACATCTGTATTTACCACCACAAGGGAAGTTTGAGCACAACCATATAACTAAACTTCCTCTTCTTCATCCGTTACAGAGGATGTGTACACAAACAAGCAGTGGTTCCAATTCCTGAGGCAGCGCTGGTCCACGAACTTCGACGACCTGGAGCGGTTCTTCCTGAAGATGAAGCTGCGAGACGACGAGCTGGGCGGCCACCTGCGCCAGTACGAGAAGTACCCCACCTCGTACAGGGCTGCCAACTTGGAGCACGGCCATTGGACCAGGCCCTACTATGATTGCGAAGGGCCCCTAAAGCAGTGGGTGGTCACCTACGCGTCGCCCTTCTTCGGCTGGGACAGCGTAAAGGGGAAACTCGAGTTCAAGTGAGCACATATTAATAAATAAATAGATATAAATATTTAGGACACATTTTAACACAATGTTCGTTAGTCTCAAACTAAGCAACACTTGTACTATGGGTACTAGATAACTGATAAACATATGTAAACATACTTGTTTTTTTGGAAAATAAATACATATTATACATATATATATATATACCCAGATACTAGAAAAACACTGTTCATCACACAAAATTTTTACAATAGTTGGGACCGACCGTACCCACACCCTCGGGCGCAGGAGGCAGGTACACTACCCTCTTAGCCATTCGGGTCGTCGATTTATTGCCTATATATTATTTTAACTAGCCACCCCAGCTTCGCACTGGTGTAATGTACATATTCAATTTCTCAGCTTTTCTCTGCTATGATATGCATGTATACTACATATAAAACTTCCTCTTGAATCACTATCTATTGCTGAAAACCGTATTAAAATCCGGTGCGTAGTTTAAAAAAATCTAAACGTACAAACATGGGGAGCTTCTTTGTTTTATACTATACAGCGTGTCGTTATCATCGCGACAATAAATGAACACACGTCTAACGCTACATGCCAATAATCATAAAAAAATATTAAAGTTAAACAAAGTCCATAATTTAAAAAAAATATTTTTCAAACAAACTAATTAAGTAAAAAAGAATCAAAATTTGTAACATCCTATACAACTCGCGCCACAGCGTCGTATTACAAGCCTTTCCTTCTAACAGTATGTTTTTTCTCTTTTAAATTCATTCACCCCATTCATATGCTTTGTGACCTCTACAAATGAACTTTACGTTACGCTTTTATAGGTCCCTCACCTAAAATTCTTTGTTTTGGAAAATTTAATAACTCGGTAAATATTGATATTTGTGTTCATTTATTGTCGCGATGGTAACGACACGCTGTATATAGAAGACACTGTATGTGTGTAGGTATGTTCACCTAAAACTAGAAAACCATTAGCCCAATAGATATGAAACTTGGCACACATATAAAAGGCAACATGACCACTCCGACGAATTAAGTAACGTTAGTGCCGGATAGATGGCGCTGGTGGCAGTGATTTTTATCTTTTGAATGTTAAATTGATTGGTCGAATATGCTACACGTATTAGGTGTACTAGGGCACAAGCTAGTATTGTTATAAAACTGTGGTAGGGCCGCGCAACAGTGTTTGTTGTTGAACGAATGGGCAGGTCTGTCCGGGTAAGTACCACGACCTCACGGAAGACCGGCGCATCTGCAACCCTACGGGTATTGCAAATGTCGTGGGCGGCGATTACTTCATATCAGCTGAACCGCCAGCTCACTTGCCACCTTCTCCCTTAAACATATAAAAACTATTTAAAATACCAACTTATTTAAAATTATGTCTTGTTTGCATAATTGCTTTTGTTTCAGGGGTGTGGTGGCTGTGACAATGTCGCTTATGTCTTTGGACATCAACCAGTGCCCCGATAAATACTATGTTCCGAATGCTTTTAAAGGAACCGATAAGTGCGACAGAGGTTCATCTTACGTGAGTATATTAGCAACATATTTTCGTTGCCTATGTTGGGACACTTTTCTGCTTGTTGGCTACAGTTCTTACGTTGATTGAGATTTATGGCGTCAGCGGCTATCGTCTTCCAGCAGTTTGTGTTAATCTTAGATGAGGTTGAACTACAAAAGTCTTTCATGCTATCACTTTGTAAGCCTTTTTGATTAGGACTATGGAGACATTTTTTTTCTATTAACCACATAATGCTGTTAAATTTGGCAGTTGCACAATTAAAACAGGCATAAATTCATTGTTAACTTGCTGTCCTATATTATGAGGAATTCAATAGAATATTTGAATATTTTGTCTTCATGACGTCATATATGGGTAATGTAATGAAATTTTTCAAAATATGCAGTACATATGGTTAAAATCATTAAAGAAATCCGCAATATGCCAATACTGCAACTTTTATCAGTCATTTTTTATAAATCCTTAACTGAAAAATCCACTATTTAAATCGGCTTAGAATCTATTTCATAAATAATGTATGTAAAAGTGATAAAATTTTTTCTCATAAATTTGTATGAAGTGTTTCCTTCATTTCTAAACCTCTAATTAGAATTTAGAGTAATCCAAAGAAATAAAAAGAAGTCTGCCCAATTTTAATATCCGTTCTGTAGTAAAGCTAAAATATTAATAATAAAATTAACCATACAATGTATAGTGCAGGAGTTGTATTAACAGATAGTACATGTTATTAAATTGTTTTTGCAGTGTGTGCCTATCCTGGGACGTGGGTTCGATGCCGGCGGTTACAAGTGCGAGTGCCTACAAGGCTACGAGTACCCATTCGAGGACCTCACCACTTACTACGATGGGCAAATAGTTGAGGCGGAGTTTCAGAACATCATTGCCGACAAGGAGACCCGTATTGATATGTTCAAGTGCAGACTCGCTGGAGCGGCAGCGATAGAAAGCAGCTTTATTATAACACTGGCTGTAGTATTCCTTGTTTTTAAACTTAGGTAATATTAATGCTGCCGGCAGCAACGTTTTATGACAATAGCTTATTCTCAAATCAACTATTTTGTACAATTAAGAAAAATTTTGTGTTTACAGTGAACATGTTAATATCAATTATCATTTACAAATTTTTATAAAAGATAGAATTTTGTTAGATGTTTTGATAGATAAATTTTTTTAGTTTTTATTTTTTTAACAAATCTTTACACTCAACTCTCTAGATAAACATGAGCACAAAAAAGTATATTCAGTAAAAATTCTAAATCATTGCGTTAAAGCATTGTTTTTCAACATTTACTTTTTGCACAGAAGAGATCTGAGTTTACTATTATTTAATATATGCACTTAAGGTGAAAGAATTCGAATTTCAATCTATGGAAAATTTAAATGACACAAATCTACGGAAAACTAAACAATGTGAATTTTAAATGACATTGTTGTATAAATTTATACATAGTAAGACATTGAACTAGTTTTTGCATTGTATCTTCTATAAAACATCTTTAAAAATTGTATGATTGAAATGATGAATTTCCACGATAAGAATCTCTTATGTATTCCCAATATTTGTAACTTGTAATAACATTCCATGTGTTAGCATATTTTCTACTTAAAACTTTCTACAAAACCCAAGGACTTGTGAATGCAGTGGCAGATTTGTAGTCTTGGCTGCCCTAGGCCCCAGCCTATGTAGTAAGTTCCAACCGCCCCTTTCTCCAAGCCCATCATATATCTTATCTAACATCAGTGAATTTTTTTTCTCAATTGGCCGCCCCTAGTATGTGGCCGTCCTAGGCCCGGGCCTATTGGGCCTTAGGGCAAATCTGCCCCTGTGTGAATTTATTAATAATTATACTTTAAGATTAGTTTAATAAAAAAATCATGATAGATTAAAGTTAGAATAAAACAAACTGTCCAGGCAAGTTACTCTATCCTATGATTTACCTCAAATGTTGGTTTGCTATTACAATTTTTTTCATAGGCAATTAAAACTATAATCAGTTTAGTAAATGAAACTATGTTTACGGATTTATCGCGTTTATTTTTTGTTTTAATTCCGACTTTTCGAACCCTGTACTGTCTGTTCTTGCCCTTGTCTGTCCTGTGACCGAGAACGCTGTAAAGGGTTCGAATTGTCGGGAATTGTGTAATATATTGTCGGTAAAGTGTAATCGCGTAAATACAAGAAATTATTATATTCTCAGTTTATCAGTATTGCTAATATTTGTGTGTATACGGCTTTTCTTACCTGTGTAATGGGTAATAACCATTGTAAGCCACACATACCCCTTGGGTGTGTGTGGCTTACAAAAACCATGCCTGTCTGTGAGACAACTATAGTATAAACCCAAAGAGTGCTTACATAAAGGATGCCAATAGAAAAATACATAGATAAGCGATAAATCTGGACAGCACTAGTATCATGTGCACTCTTATTGCCTGTTTCTGTATCTTTGCCAATAAGTCAAATATTGTGACATAAATTAGCCAAAACAATAATGATTAATGTACAAAAATGTTTGTATGAATTAAGTAAAACAAACCAACAGCTTATTTAAGCATTTTTTTGACCAACAAAGGATATTCTTAGTTTGTTTTAATATTAATTTTATCAGTTTGCATTTAAGCATTATTGTTTGCTGTTAAAATAGCTTTCATCAAATTTTTATAGCACATTCTGCTTTTTACGATATGACCATATTGATGGGATTTGCAGTGATTTTATATTATAATGATAACTATATTTGAAATAGAAACTGATTTGTTTTTATTTTAAATTATATAAGGTTTATTGCATTATTTTTGGATGTATATTTTCTTTTATTCAAACATGCTATTATTATCAATTGCAGATATTTTATTTTTGTATGATTAAGGTTGATGCATGTCATTCAAAGAAATATATCATAGTAACATCTGCAAAATAAAGAATCTCATCAAAAAACAAGTGTGTAAATGTATGTAATTATAGATCTAGTCTGTAAGGTAGCCCGATATAAAACTGTGTCAAAACTAGTTAATTTTTTACTTCTTTGTTCTATGTATTCCTTTAAAGTCTAAAATTCAATAATAATTGTTTTTAAATAACAATCAAACATGGAAACTTTACATAGCCTGTTTAAAAAGAAACAAAAGTTGTTAATAGATTCTCATAATTAGGTTAGTTTAATTTCTATAATAATCTTCAGTGGAGATACTGAATATTACAGGTGTTTTTATGTTTAATACTTTTGTATTTACCTGATGATTTATTTTACAGAAGACTTATGTACCGTCCATTTTTAGTGCCTTTTATACTTTGTGTATCATGATTAAAGTTTTTTTTTCATAAGTTGTTCTTCATTATTGGCCATTTTGTTTGAACATATCATCTGTGCTAAAATCGAGAGATAGAAGAGTTATGCATTGGTAAACAATGTGAAATTTCTATACTGCTTTAATGGAAATGGCATGTTCTTGATAATGGGTACTATTCTGTTAGTATACTTTCAAGAAATGATGGAAATTGGCTTTAAGGTATTAAATTTTGTTTTATCTTGTCGAGTTCCTTCATCGCGACTAAATTAATATAATCAAGTAATCATCTCTAAAGAAAAGTGGTTAATTGATGTAACGTACATAGAGTCTTGAATAAGAACTGTCCGAACGTATAAGAGTGCCCCTACTAAACCAAAGTATAGTAAAATATATAAAAGCATGTAAATAACAACCAGCATGCGAAGTAAGCTCATTTTGCTGAATTAACTATACATATTAGGTACTATTTTTTATTTAAAATGTTCAATCCAGTTATTGTACATAGTGGAGGTTTGAATCTTTGAATTTGATGTTTTTCCACAGATTAATAATGTGGAATACTTCGTTGAAAAATACAGGTTTAATAACATAAAATACATTCATATTTTTGTTAGTTTGTTTTGCTTTTAGGCCTACGGCCCTTGAAATTTGATAGTTTCGCATTAAGATGTCCTCAGGCTCAGACAGATGACCCATGAACTCAGGCACAGATATGGTAGAGATGCTAACGCATGTAAATAATTAGCATGAAAAGAACGCAGTATAGTTGTGGCTACGTAGAATTAGTCTATGTTTGTTCCTGGTATTTATTATATCATGCACATTAGTACCTTAAAAATTCATTTTTATTAAACATTTTCAAGTATATACCTACTGAGAAGCCACACTTAATTTTTTAATCTTGTTGAACATATCATATTGATTCTTTAGGGCCCAGGAAACTTCTCAAATAGGTCTCTTGTGGAGGATAAATATTGTATTTATTATTTGTATTATTAAGGTACATCTAACGTAACAAAAACATTCACCCATGAAATCCCAAAAAAGACAAATTTGGGTATTTAAGAAAAGACATTTTATTGAAAAAGCACTTAAATACGACGTAATGAAAGTCCTTGACTGCATAGTCTTCTGCTTTTTCATAAAAAAAAACTTTTAGTAACTATCGTCCAGTTTAGTAAAGATCTTGTCAGATGTTTTGACATAAACTATATTATAATGACGTTTAATTGTCAAATATACAATGTTGACGTTATCACTATAACCTTAGAAGTTTTGATTATCAATTGAATGACAGTGACATTGGTCCACTGTAGAAAAAGCACTAGAATAGAAGACGTAGTGGTTTTATGTCTGGTAACCTTTTTAAAACTATAAATAAAAGCTGTATACAGGTAATTTCATTTTTCATGTAATTAAATATAATTTTTTTAAATAAGCTCCATTCATCTTTTATTAAAAAGATTAGACGAAAAAAGGTCAACCTTGACATCTTTTTTTCACTTTGTTATAATGTTGTATACGTAATTTATTTTAATTTCATTTTTCGATGTACGAAAAATGTAAAGCACATTCTTTTAAAACATTAATTGTATGTAGTTTACAACTCGAAGCGATTTTTAGTATGCCGAATGTGATTTTTATTATATCTCTCTTATCTTTGTAATAAATAATGTTGATAAAGATACAGTATTCATGTATTAGAGACGACTTTTTTGTAACAGTTTTTTCTTATTTCAGTCATCATGAGTGGCGTAGCTAGAAAATTATTTGACCAGCTGAAAAGTAAAGAATTCAGAGAATATTTAATGAGGTTTGTTTAATGTTTCATACTCTTCAACTAAGCTAGTAACATTTAATACTTTTTTGTCTTTTTTTTCTGAATTTCTGAATGGAAGGAAACAGGTGAATGAAGAGAGACTGCCAAATATCATTTAATTTATGTAACAGTAACAAAAATAGCTAGAAGATGTTCTTGTATGTTCTCATTGTGTATTAAGATAGGGAAGCATTATAGATTATTAAGCGACTATTATTCTGATGTATAAGCTATATTATTGTAAACTTTCATAAAAACCCATTCAGTAGTATTTGCATGAAAGAGTAATAAACATCCATCCATACATACAAACTTTCACATTTATAATGTTAGTAAGGATTTGTATAGATGTGTGGTATAGCAGAGTGAAAGACATATGCTGGGGTTATGGAAAGTGTAAACTCTTTGCTTATCGGTCTCTGATAGTAGTGTTCCTTTATCTTTTCCTTAATATTAGGTCAAGAACCTATTATTGTTATGTTAAAATCATTCAGGGAAGTTCCAAAGCCTCGTAAAGAATAGCATGAAGTAGAAATATTGTTTGCATCACATCTTGTCAGTGAAGGAACTGTTTATTTTACACATAACCATAATGTGTGTTGTAGAAGTCCAGAGGTATGAATATTTTTTACATGTATTATAAGTTAAATAAAAATAATATTAATCATAAGTTTAATTACTGTGTAATAAAATATGATCTTTACATTAGATAAAATTGAAAAACTTTCAGCACACACTTCTGGGGTCCAGTGGCTAATTGGGGAATACCTCTTGCTGCCATAGCAGACACAAGAAAAGACCCCGTCTTCATAAGCGGCAAAATGACGTTAGGTATGTTTTTCCAGTTATTCAATTATAATATGTGTATGATTAATAGACTTCTAATGGATTTCGGACTAAAGTAACCTGTGGCTACACCATAGTTTCTTCCAACTGGAATAAAATATATATCATAAACAATAAGCTATTTTCATATTCGTCGGCCATTCCTGAAAGACAAAATGTAACTTCGAATTTAAATTACTATATATTTGTAGGCCAAAAAAATATTATTGCATACAATATCAATATTATAGCATAATAAGTATCAATAAGAATTTGATTTATACAGTAGACTAAGTATTATTATATCTTGTTTTATAACACAGTGTATTAGTTTTATCATGTTTTACATCTGTCAGATTGTAAATTTACATAGATAAAACTGTATTACTTATATGATTATTGCAGCTCATTTAGATAGTAATAAGTATTTTGATTCTCTACATAATTGTTTATGATAGAGCATGTGAAATGTATATTTGTGAGAACTGTCAAAAAATGTTTACTAAAAAAATGAAATAATGTAACCCATTGTATGTTTAGTTCTATTTCATTCATGTTTATTTCTTTTTAAGGTACCTTAAAAGGTAAAAAGAGGAACCCTTATAAGATCGATCACTCTCTTATCTGTCTGTCTAGCCCTGTGTCACCATCGATTTTCTCAGCCAAAATTGACAATTCTGGGTCAACCAGACGTAGGTACCCTATATTAGGTTTTGTTTTAATCGGAATTTGTTTTGGGGTTTTTATCCTTTTTGGAAATGTCAACCCCATTGTGACCATCTCATTATATTAGGTTTTGGGTCGAAATCCTACATGGTGATTCCTGTTGACCTAGAATCACGAAATATGGCAAAAAGAAAAAAAATATTTTTTTTTTACTAATATTGAGTCAGCTAAGAGGCTTTTACCCACCTCACTAAATGATCATATAAAAAAAACATTAATTAAATATTTTAATTATGCGTAAAAATGTGTCTGAAAATATTTATTCATTATTTCCTTATGACAAGAGATAAGAAAACAGTGATTTGCTCCCAATGGAATTCTTTACCGTCGCCACCCAAAATACATACCTGATTAGATATTTTATTATCTAATAATATGTCTGCCTTTTAGCTGGCGTAAAACATTGACACATATTTACGAGAATTGTTAATAAAACACTTGTTTGAAAAAGAATCTTTTTAATTTCTATAATATTACTTTGATTGTAAATCGTTAGTCTAATCATAATGATAGATTATTATAAATTTGATTATTATCGTTTAGGAAATTAAAATGACAACATAATGTGTAAAGAACACAATTGTAAAATTGTGTTTATTGTAATCTTTTTATTCGCCATCAAAAATGGCACATCTGTGAACAAAAGCTATGGTGACACAGAACAGTGATATTATATCCAAATGTGAGTAAGATATGACACTAGAGCTCCTAGAGAAACTGACGTTTACAAATCCACCAATTGGTGTAATTAGATTGCAGTTCTATTTACTGCTATCTCTTTTCTTATCACACGTTCTATATCATCTGTCACATTCACTTATATATCACTAAATAGTATAAAACAAAGTCGTCCCGCTGTCTGTCTGTCCCTATGTATGTTTAGATCTTTAAAACTACGCAACGGATCTTGATGCGGTTTTTTTACTAGATGGAGTGGTTCACGAGGAAGGTTTATATGTATAATACATTGCACCGGTGCGAAGCCGGGGTGGGTCGCTAGTGTCATATAATTTAAAGCGTAAAAATTTTTAAACGCCGCGCAGTCTGTACATGCGTCATATATATTATTAAACTTCATTGATACAGAATAAAAAAAAGCGTCATTTTATGTATAAGCAGGATATTATTTTGAAGTGGTTCATATTTTATTGTAAATATTGCTTAAAAGTTGAACAAACATAGCTCATTCTTGACTCTTCTTAAGAAAACAATGGTATTATGTAAACTGTCACTGTTGAGTGAAAAGTTCAACTCTATTCTTAATACACATTTGCTTATTGTTATCAAACTGTTTTGTCTCGCATTTGTTTGAATATTTCCGTCCTGCTCGTGTACGTATAGTAGAGGGAGACAATAGAGATGGATAATTTCTTTGTTTGACGTTTGATCGAGTATATCCGATCTCTTCGCGCCCTTTTATAGTGCGGGGGATAAAAAGCAGAAGAATAGAAAGGGAAAATCCTGTCCATAGCAGCGTGCGGTCATTAATGAAGTAGGTTAGGAAGCCTGTGCTTCCGATAGTTTTATCATGTAGAGTCAAGCTTACTTTGTTTAGACGGCTTAGGGTTTAATTTTGCATAGCAAATGTACATTTTCTATCTTTACATAGTATAAAACAAATTCGTCCCGCTGTCTGTCTGTCCCTGTACAGCGCGTCTTTACAACCGCGACAATAAATGAACACACGTCTAACGCTACTTGGAAATTATAAAAAATAGTAACGTAAAAAAATCCATAATTAAAAAAAAATATTTTTCAAACAAACTAATTAAGTAAAAAAGAAACTAAATTTGTAACACCTATACAACTACAAGCGACTGATTCATACAATCGCATTACAAGCCTCTCCTTCTAAAAGTATGTTTTGTCTCTTTCAAATACATTCAACCCATTCCTAAGCTTTGTGAACTTTACAAATAAACTTTACGTTACACTTTTATACGTAAGGATGTTCTTGGGTTGTTGTAAGGGGGTTGGTCTACGTAATTCGTTGTTTTGGAATATTTAATAACTCGGTAAATATTGATGTTTAAAGAATGTAAATGTTTAATACAATTTACAAATTTATCCTCTATATGTGTGTTCATTTATTGTCGCGATTGTAAAGACACGCTATATATGTTTAGATCTTTAAAACTACGCAACGGATTTTGATGCGGTTTTCTTTTATAGATAGAGTGATTCAAGAGGAAGGTTTATATGTATAATTCATGCATTCATGAGAAACACTGATAATTTTAGAGGTTTCTAATGCGAAAACAAACATTCAGCATTGCACCAGTGCGAAGTCGGGGCGGGTCGCTAGCAGGGAATATATTGTGACGCACAGGGCCTTGCGGTAATTTGTCCGTGGTTTGCAGTACCGCACGATAAGTTATTTTTACAACCTACAGACCAAATCTCAATCGTCATGGACTTGGGAGCTAGTCCATATGTAATTAATGTGCAACGCCGTTTTTTTTAAGTGAAAACTTTTTATCGGTGTTGAGCCATTTTTGGTTGGGGCAAAACTTGTGGGTTTGCCTCACCGACATGTTTACGTGACGTGTTTAGTCACTAACGTAAAAAACATTATGTTATTTAGTTTTCTAACATTTAATTTTGGTCTCTGCAATACACTATGTTAGTTCAGACTACAACAGGCTGTATAGGTAGAAATCTTTTACTATATAATATACTATGTATTATATTCCAATAATCTGGCACAAGAATATACTATGTATACATAAATAGTATATTCTTGTCCCAGATTATAAAATTCTAATTAAATAGTGTTCATACTACAGTTAATTAAAATTAAAAAAAAAAACGTAGCTATCTAGTTTTAAGTTTTCACTTCTGTCGGCAGTCCTGACTATTTATTAAAAAAAAAAGTAACAAATCTTTTGGTTGCAGCTCTCACTCTCTACTCGTTGATGTTCATGCGCTTCGCGTGGAAGGTCCAGCCGCGCAACATGCTGCTATTCGCCTGCCACTTCACCAACGAGTGCGCTCAGCTGACCCAAGGCGCGAGGTTCATCAACTACCACTACATACAAGGCGGGGAGCAGAAGCAGACGCCATCCAAATAGCGAAGGGAAAGTGACCTTAACGGCTGCGCGCACGGGTGCTTTGTACCGGCTGGCGGGAAAAAAAAAATAAGTTGTCTTTGAAATTTTAGCTGTCAAACGTCGCGATTTGTCTCACACCTCAAAGTCACGAGGAGAGTCTTTGTCAAATTTTCGGCAGGTAATCTTTTTTTGACGCATCCGTTACGGTTTAGAGTCGAGTGCTTGGGTGTGCACATATCATATAGTGGCAATGGCTAGTGGTAAATTTGATGCGCTAATATTATAGGAATGAAATAATTCCGCGTAGTTCAATCGAAACCTCGCACCCGTCTATTCCGGCGATAGACTGGGACGTATTAGACAACAACATTGTTCAACTCTACACTAAGCGTGAATCACTGACTTTTAGGTTACCCTGTCATAAACGAAGCCAATAGATGTAGAATTCTCCAACGAAATATCCGTGCGCACAAGCCATCATTTAGTCCGATTAGATTAATTGTTATGACACGGTAGATAATGTAGTCGTTAAAGGTTGTTCACTCTGCCGACGCCGCGACCACAACTAGAGTCGCGTAGAGAAATTTTGTTGACATTTTCACATGTCAAAAAACTTATTATGTATCGCCGATTATTTTCAATTATTATTAATCTGTGCTTTATTTATTACGCATATACAATTCAAACCTGTTACTTTAGCTTTGCAGCTATATTCGGCGCTGCATGTTTGGGCAGGAAATTTTAAGGACATTTTTCACATGTGGATACGGTAGAAAAGCTGATTATATACTGACTGTTATTTTTAATCTGTGCTTAAATTTTTACGCGTGTATTATTCGAACATTTTACTATAGTTTTCTAGCGAGTCCAGGGTCGACCGGGGAAATACTACTTATTTACAGAAAGCCAAAATAGAAGTAATCTTTATATAATAGAATTAATCTTGAGTTCCGTTCGTGAGTGGAGGAATCGAGCCTCAACATCGTTTCTGTAAACAGCTCCTATGTTTATTTAAAAAAAATACGTAATTTTGTAAAATTTTTATCTGTATAGTTTTTTTTTTATTTGTATCGTTATTTTTATTTCAAATGACATTTATACGCAGTACCTAATTGGGTTACATTGTGCATGTAATTTTGAGAGTTTATATTGAATAAAAACTCCCATTGAGAAAACTCAATCTAATAAGTTAAGTTTTACTGTTGATTTTGATAATGAGAAAATGTATGTTCTTAAGAAACGGTAAAAAGGTATAAAAATCATAAGCACAAGCAATGAGAACATTTTTAAAGTTAGTTATAATCAATGTATCTATTTATACATTATCGAAAAATGATTAAATAAAAGAATGTTACCATTATATGATTTATAGTCGATTTTTTTAATTGATATGTTTTGTTAGTACTTACTTTGTTACATATCTTCTTTTGTTATTTTTCATATATATTAATAAACTGTCTTTGCAATATTGCTTGAGAAAAGAGAACTACTTGCTATTTTAATGAAAATGTTCCATTATTTCTAGTTTCGTTTTGTTTTGTTGCACCCTGGTAAAAATTTTAGGCACGCAGACCATTAAATATTATAGGATATAATATAAATAGTAGTCTCCGTTCGCACAAGTTTCTCAACTATTATAAATGTCTTGCATAATTGAATTTCGACATGGTTCTATATCTAACGAGGAACTGGAGAAATGCGTTTTAGATTTAGAGAGATTTAGCTATTTTTAACGATTAAGCCACCTTCTATGTATATGTAATTTAAATTCATAATGATTCAAAGCATCCATCACCTGTTAAGAATTTCTGTGAAATAGTTGTGGTCGGCGTAGTTTGTAAATGGCGTTATTGCAATTGTAAATAAGTATATTTTTCGAATATTTATTGTGATCCAATCGAATTATAGCCCGTATTGATCTGTTGTACATTGTTTCCATTTTAGTGGGATTGATTTATAAATAAAAATACGATTTGTTTTCATTTTTACTGCCTTTTAATAGTGCTAGTGGTAAATCCTTCCGTTTCGTATTTATTGATAATGTGGAAAATAAAGGATGAATTTATAGACGACGGACATATTAACAGAGCATATGCAGAATTTGATTCTAAATCTGAATCTGGTACGTACTTGTAACCAATGAAGTACTTGCAAACATCAACGGTGAAGGAAAACGTCGTGAAACCAAAAATATTTCGTAAGTATGTGAAGTCCCCCAACCCGCAGTGGTGGACTGGTGCCCTGATACCCATTGTAATGCCTCTGCCCTACAGTGGGAGTATACTAGAGCAACCTGAGTTCGATCCACCGTGCCGGCACCAATGAAATTGTTCAGTTTAAGTGCTGACTTATCACTGATATGGTTATCACATGCTCAGCGGTGAATGAAAACATTATGTGAAGTCCGCCATTCCGCAGTGGGCGGGTGGTGGACTATGCCCTAATACCCTCTGTACAGAGGTGGCCTTTGTCCAGCTGTGGTACATATTTTAGGTTCAAAAGGTTTTCAACGCATCTGGAACTCTCGGGCGTAGTAGATGTCCATGGTCGGCGGTATTCACTTAACATCAGGTGAACCGTCTGCTCGCTTGGCAACTTTTCACATAAAAAAATTACTTGAATTTTATTCATGTCGCTCTTATGGATTGTATTTTACTATGGTAGAGCAGTAACAGCCTCCAAAACAACTCATAGTACACGAGCGGGACATCTAGTCCAGAGAAGTATTTCACGGAAGATGGGTACGAAGTAAAAGTATTTATACTAGGTGTGTTCGTCCGGTGAGTGAGGTATATGGTAGACCACGCTAATGCTGTCTGGTTGGCGACGGCTGCAACAACAATCCCCACTTTGCAGGTACCTGGTTGCTCAATGCTATCAATTTGAATTAAAAAAACTTTGAAGTATAGTTTACATTCGGAGATAAAAATAGTCTAAATAGTATACTAAGAGCTTATGGTACAAAAAAATCACGTATTTAATACATTTGGGAAATTTTAGATATATTTTTTTTTGTGAGAAGGTGGCAAACTGATGGCGGATCACCTGATGTGAAGTGATAACCGCCGACCGTTGACAACACCCGTAGGCATGCAGATGCGTTACCATCTTTCAATAAAGTGGGCCCGGCTACCTCACACACCAGACGAAACGCAGACGTGTCAAACTTCCCACTGCACGCCGGCCGGTCTTCTGTGAGGTCGTGGTACTTACCCAGACGGAGCTGCCCATTCGTGCAACAGAGACCGTTGCGTGGACCTAGTGACGCTAAAGAATTAACGTTTGGATAGAAAAAAAAATCTTTCAGTATTACCTACTTTATTGTTTCATTTTAGCGGTTTCGTACTAGCGTCTTTTTCCACTTTCTTATATATGCTATTGTTAGAAGATAGGAGGGTAGTAGTACACTGCGACGACCTATAAACGGAGCAGTGCTCGCCGTGTCAAGAGACTATCTCATCAGCCGTTGTAGAGTGCGGAAGCTCTACCCGAATTAATAACGATTGTGTCGGTTACTTACAATTTTAGTGAAACTTCTGGTTAAGTTTGCCCTAATGGCCAATAACTTCTTTTAAAAAAAAAATAATCATCGTTTCTATTTCCTAACACTGTTTTTAAATTGTAACATCCAAATCATCCAAAACGACCGTGGCAATTTTTTTTAAATAAACTGTCCTAGCGATAAAATTTTGCTCAAATAGTAATTTTTCGCGGCGTCACGCAAGGTCCTCGATTCAAAGCCTATCCTTACTAATATTATAAAGGCGAAAAAGGCGGTTTGTATGTATGGATGGATGTTTGTTACTCTTTCACGCAAATACTACTGAGTGGATTTTAATGAAACTTTACAATAATATAGCTTATACATCAGAATAAAACGTCGATATAATTTATACATATACCTATGTTTTTCTGTCTGAATGTTACGCCTTCAGCCTATTCTACGCAGACGTAGTCGCGGGCAGCAGCTAGTACATGATAATTATGTGTCATCTCGTTTTCGAATCTTACTGCTTCGTATTGTTATCGTTAATTAATACAAAGTTTGCACAAGATCGTTCATTCGTTGTGTAATTAAATGAGAAAATTTTAACATTCGCAGATTATAGTTTACGTGAAAAATATTTTGGTCGATTATAATTTGCTTTCGTAAGCGATCTTCGTGTGGACCTCAAGATGGGTTTCAATATCGATCGCGGTCCAAGCGGTTCAAACCTGGGCTTGAGGGTATTAGATTGTGTCGTGTACCTTATTTTAGTCGAATTATCATAGATAAAATTCCGTAGAGCCGCAAACAAATATAAAAAGGTAAAACGTCTCTATTGACATGTGTCCATTGTTCTAAAGACGTTATTCACAAATTAAAATCGGTTGATGTTTCTAATTATCTCAAATAGAGTGGATAGTTTTTACACTATTGTATCAGTCTTCAGTGATACGTAAAATACAGTCTATGCTTGGACAATGCTAGCGTTTATCGGCGCTTGAAGCAATTGTACGCACTGCGATATACATAACGTCGATAACGACGTAGCTCCGTATTCACTCGCACTTGTCTCTGAACAATGAAGGCGTAGTTTATTGTTTGAGCCGCCGAACGCCCGCCATTGTGTGTCGCCACCTGCAACTTGGCGGGAAACTGGCGTGCCTTCGCACAATGCGTCGTGTGCTGCGCGGATGCGACTACAGATAGCGATATTATAGCGCTTGGATGTTGTATCTTGATTGTTGATACTTTTAATGGATGTTTGGATTTTCTGTTTTGAATTTTAAATATATTACTTGCTTTTTGAGCGATTTCCTTAGCGTCGATCGCGAAACAGGTTAATATTTTAAACGATGACATAAAATGATTTCATCGGTTGTATATCATTCCTTGAAGTGTTTGATGTCCTTTAGTTGTTCTATTTACGTGAATTCATACTTAAACAAAATATTTTTTGGAATTTTTACTGTTTACTTTGTTTTTAAATTTCCGTAATCCATCCCGTAATCATGGAGGCGGTAAATTGTTCGAA